TTCAAAGATATCTGGAAAAAAGAGAATGTGACATAGAAATAAAATGCTGTGTTGTCCTTTAAAGATTTTCTGGAACTTTATGAATGTAATTCATAATGTAATTATGAATGTAATGTAATATGTAACTTTATGAATGAAATAGTTTACAAACTGTACATGCTTATACTGAGCACACACAAGTCCAAAAAAGTTAACACAAGGAAAATTTAGTAGCACAGATCATATATTTTATCTCTATGGCAGCTTTCATCTTATAAAATGTAAGATTAAAATGTGAATTGTCCTTCTGAACAGTAGTGACATCTGCTACATGCAAATCAGAAGCTGGCAAAAATATCCTGGGATGATGACATGAATTAGTATCTGTCACTTACAACATGATCACCATCATTTTAGATTTACAACCCTGGATGAATCATGATTTACCTATTACACCGCTCTAAGGATGATGCAGCCCATGATCCTGCAAACGGTAACACATTCAAGTAGTAGCTAATGCTGCCTAAAATCTCTTTTCAGCAAGACAGAATGATAGGTTTTAATATTAAATACATGTCAGCACCAAGACTCTTATTCTTAACAGTGCATTTTAATACACTGGAACTGGCTTCAGCATGAAAACAAGGGAAGGTGTGTAAAATCACAGAGCAATTCATGTCGGAAAAGCCTGCAAGATATCATCCTGTTCAATCTCCTGCTCAAAGCAGGGTACACACTGACTTCAGACTAGATTGCACATCTAAGTTATTGCTCAAGTTGGAAATAATAATAATAATAAAAATCTATTCTTCATTACTAAGCTAATAAATTCACCTAATACACAGGGACTTTAATTTAAAATGTACTGTGGAGCCCATAAGCAAAGAGGAAAAAAAATAAAAAAAAGACAGGCCCAAATCACTGTAAATTGATGAAAAGAAAATATCTCAGTTTGTGTTTGATAAAACCCCGGCCATGTGCCATGGACAAACAAATGTCTCACACTGGAGAATGTGCATTCGGTTATATGCCCATGTATGTGAAATGTGAAAGTAGGGCTTTTTCCGAAACTTTGGGAATTTTAGCCTGCTGCAGCAACAAACAATTCTGAAAATATCAACCCACGGGGCATACGTTGCTCTCCCAGTTGCTCAAAGGAAGGGGGAGAAAATAGCAGGTAGAAGAAGCCGGGGTTGCTCCTCAGACCTGTACTAAGGGAATAAATGAATCATGTCATGCTGCTCCCAGGAGGTGTTAATGCTGGCAACAGACTTCAGGAGGCAGGAAAGTTCATGTTAAAATTAAGCCACTCCATTGCAGTATAAGTCAGGAAGTAAAACTCTACAGAATTTGTGAACTTTATAGGATTGATTTTACTGCTACGGTTTTATATGGTACAATTGCCTTTGGCCGGAACCTGGGAGTTTGTCTGAAATTTTCCTTCTTCCTTCACTGATGGAGAATATCTACATTAGCACCAATTTCCACTTTTCACTTTTACAGGAGAGATGTGATAAAAAAGACACGGAGAAATGTAACCAATAGTTTTGCATTAGCATTTAGGGTTGTGTTTTTTTTTTTTTTTTTTTTTAAAAAAAAAAGGATCTAAAGTCAGAATTTTGGCTAAAAAGGGGAAAAAGGATAGGTGAGAGCAAATATGCCTTCAAAATTCTCTCCTTTTGCTTCAGAAAAGTAAAGTACATTTTCTCCTCTAGCCTAAATACACAGGCTGTTACTAAATGACAGTGAGTAGCAAGATCTAACAGAAGAAATCATTGTGCTACCTCAAGCTAGGTACTTAAACAACTATCCCAAAGGGAGTCTAGATATACTGATATCTAGATATGCTCTAGATATACGGAACCCCAAGGGAGTCTATGCAGACTTGCAATAAGCAAGTCAGTGATGGCAGTCACATACATACTGTGGGAACTAACATCAGTATGGTCCAGTATACTAGGAATTCATCAGAATTCATTTCATGTGAAAAAGTGAGCAGATGGCAGGCTGCAAAACTGATTAAGGGTAGATATCCAACATGGAGACAAAAATTTCATATTCCACTCCCAAAACTCTACATCATCTTTTTGTTGTTGTTGTTGAATATCTTTTCAGACTTTGTAGCTGAAAGATTTAGATGAATTAAGCCCCAAATTTCAGTGAAGACAAATGAACACTTTCTCTCATGAACAAAATATCCAGCTGAAATTTTTTCCTCCAACTCTAATTACACTGCCTTCAACTTGTTGCCTGTTTTGTGCTTATGAAATCCAGATTCACTACAGGATGGACATCAGCTTCATCTTCTCAGCCTACTCTGCTGGCAATCACATGGACATGAACCCATCCATACATGTTGCTCTGAACGCGAGAAGTGAGAGTGATAAAAGAAGAAGCATCAAGAGCTAAGAGCAAACAAACCTTGGTGATAACAGATTGAAATTATGGCAAGGAGCAGGTAAGCAAGCATGTGTTAAAATAGAAGGGGCAAAATAGGACTAGATATATATATATAAATAGGATAGATAGGACTAGAAGAAACGGCCACAAACTGAAGCATTGGAAGTCCCACAGGAACTTAAGAAAAAAATTCTTAACAGTGAGGGTGACAGAGCCCTGGAACAGGCTGCCCAGGGAGGCTGGGGAGTTTCCTTCTCCGGAGATCTTTAAAACCTGCTTGGACACAGCCCTGTGCCACATGCTCTAGGTGATCCTGTGTGAGCAGGGGGGTTGGACTAGATGACTTCTGGAGGTCCCTTCCAACCTAAAGCATTCTATGATTCTATGATTCCATGAAAATATTCTATGGATCTATCACAGTGAGGTAGCTTCGAAGCTGTATGCAGCTCCTGTCACTTTTGCTAATGAGAGACACTCTTCCACAAACATAGTTCAGATCCTCAAGGCACAAATCAGATCCTCAAGGCACATGCACCTTGTGTTTATATCCGTGGAAAAATGTAAACAGTTCAGTTCTGCTGTAAGGGTTTGTGTCCATTTTTCACCACTTTCTTCACAAGTAGACCACTAACATTTAATTTTATAGCTGAACTTTCATAATGACAGGACAAAATAAAAACAAATCAACAAAAAATTTTTAGTGGCTTTTATTGTTTGTAATGAATAAGATCTTTTTTGTGTTTTTTTCTTTGTTTTTTTTTTAAGAAAATGGAGACACCTTTTTTCATAGAGAAACTGAAAAACTTTCTCTACCAGATTTTATTTTTCGTATACTCAGCCACCCAAAAAATGCCTCAAAACAAACAAACAAACAAACAAAAAAGGAGGTATAAGAAACAGGGAGTATTTAAAATGAGACACCTCTTCCTTTAATTCAGAGTTCTACTAAATTTTGTGTCTCAAGAAAAATTTTAAAAAGTTACTCTTAATGTTGAATTTCTGGTATTATTCTTCCATGAAAAAAACAAAGATATCCAGCAGAAATGCACGGTCAATTTGAACTTATACTGTATAAACTACTTGCAGTTCTGTTCTCGATGGAAGGTAATCAGTATGTCCGTGTATTTGCCAGCATTTGAGAAAACTTAGCTGGAAATGGAGTTTACAGTAAAAAACAGCAAAAAAAGTCTTTCCAGGGACTGAAATTGATAGGAAGGTATATAACACTAACAGCTTAACTTCCATTAGAAGTTACAGATTCCCATCCATCCATATATATATATATATATATCCATATATATATATAAATCAAGCTCTGCATTTGACATTATGGGATAACATTTAACAATGTTTAATTCTTACTAATTATGTTGTCACTTGTTGCTCCCACAGAATCCTTCTGTTCTAATCTCTTCCCAACTTCTCATCCTCCTCCTTTTCCACATTCAGCTACTTTAAGTAGCAGCGAGTCTGCTGGGAATTAACTGTGAACTTTTTTTCCCCCTAACTGAAACTCTTTACCATGACCAAGGTCTTGTTAGCTGAAAAATTGGGTAGGGGATATGCAAGGTCAGAGTGAAAGCTTACGGTTAGGTGAAGAGTTGCAGAGGCTACGCAGGCCGAGACACTCTAACTTACTGGCGTGAGTGATGAGAACAAACGTGACAGGGGAAAATACAACATGGACAGGAAAGAGAGGAGATGGTCCAAAAAAATGAGAATAATGAAAAACGGTAAGCAATTTAAAAGATAATTATGGAAAAAATGGAATTCATTTCTATCTTCAAAATACGTGACAATCCAGGAAGGACTGGCATGTTACTTTAATTAAGACAGCGCTGGTTTAGCAGGGGCTACCAGGACAGCTATATCCAAAACGCAGAATAAAATTTAGAAAAAAAAAGTCCACCTCTTCTGATTTTTTTTTCTGGAAGTATGTCTCAGAATGTACTTGCCTAGTTCTTTTTATATGCTCAAAGAGATACTCCTTAGGAAGTGTAATTCAAAGCATGAGATGTACAATTCGGGAAGTGAATGTTACATTCCTAGCACTTCCATGAGCTGCTAGTACAACTCCGAGCCAAACTCTCAGCTTTTCTACATATCCACTTTTACATCTGTAGAATGAAGATAATATTTCAATATATTTTTGAATATCATAGTCTAACTAATGTCACAAAAAACATTTATAAAATGTATCTTAAACAAATTAACATTAAGACACTGAATTTGAATACTAATTAAAAAATTAGTATCAGCATTTGTGATGTAAACTACTTATAAAAAGTCCTTTTCAGACAAACACAACTTCTTGCTACCTTGCTACCTATCTGTTATAAAACTCTGTTAAAGCTTTATAACAGACGACCTGTTATGTGCAATTATAACAGTTTTGTTCAAGCCAAAAAACCCAGATGATGAAATACCCCAGAGATGGGGGTATTTCAATAAGGAATAAAATTGTTTCATAAATACCTACTCTGTCAAATTCCCTAATTAGAAGGCACTACTGAAATACAGTGATAAATGGAGCAATCAGCATTTTTGAGGCCAATGTCTTCCTTCACCTCAGCAACCTGAAAGGCCTCAGAGTGACTCCCAGGAGCTGCTGCTTAACTCACCGTCATAGCCAGGAGTTTTCCATAGGTGAGATGTGCTGGGATGTGGTCGCTCTTGGAGCGCAGGGACTCCACGTACCAGTGCTCTGCCTCCGGTAGCCGGCTCATTCTCATGTAGGCTTCTCCTAAGGGGAAAACCAAAGTGAGTGCGGACGCCCAGGATGTCTACAGATTCACCGTCACATTTAAAACATGCAAGTACTTTCATAATATGATTTGCTACTTATTAAATGGGCAGAGATGAAGTGTTTTGGATGCTTGCAACGAAAAGCAAATATATAAAATAAAAGTGCTTTACAGAACCCTGAGTGAGGAGATTCAGAGCTATGGCCTTATTAGGGATGAAAGAGCATGGGTGAGATGAAAGTCTCCTTGGAATAGAATTGCAAGTGAGAGCTCCAGCTGCTAAGTATCAATCAAAAGTCACAAAGTAACAGAAATTTTACCACATCCACTGTATAAAAGCTACTTCTTTTCCATCAGTCTACATTACACAGCATGGAGTGCAAGGGAGAACACAGAATGTGCTTCTATTTAACCATAATGCATCAAGAACCTAGCTTAAAAAAAGAAAGGGGGAGCCTGAAAGGAAGGCTAGGAAAACAGTCCTGAAACTACGGGAATGAAGGAGATCTAAAAAAGAAAAGCAAGTCTCAGACATGGTTAAGTTTGGTCACTTGCAACAATTAGAGTGTAGCATCAGTAATTTTATTATCATGGATCTTAGGAAGCTGTGTACAAAAGGACTAGAAGTGGTTTCTTTTCAAAATAAAATCCTTTGCTGTGAGAGGCTGAGGCAGCCAATGCATAAGTACAACATAAGAACGAGAAGCTACAGAGCCATGCACTGTAGGACAGATATTACTTCAAATTGCTGAAAATGAATTTAAACTACTTGGAGCGACAGGATTTATTTCTAAGAAACAATTCAACCAAATTTCTCAAAGGTTGGAAATAAATAAGTAGTAAATTAAGTAACAGTGAAGAATGGCAGCTTTCAAAGAGCTTACCACCTATATTTTCAAAGGAACTAAAGTTGAGTATATATTTTTGTCTATTTGCTTCGAAACTGCCTAAGTTTTGCCAAAAAAAATGTCTTATTGCCATTTATAGTAAAGCAACACCACAAATAAATGGCATTGCATTATATCTTCCTAAGCACAGAACAACAAAGGCCTGAAATCAAGTCGTGAAAAGAAGTGATAAAACAGAATTCAAGCTACGTGCTCTCCTCACCTCCTCTGCCTGCATGTATGCTTTATGACAGAATTTTAATTATTTGATTACACACTATTTTTCCCTACAAACCTTTACCTTGTTTAGCATACAGGAAATGAGAAAACCATTTTGTCTTGTCTTTTTTTTCTCCCCTTTATTTTATTTTAAGTGCAAGCAACCTGCTAGTTAGAGTTTGGCAAAGTTACAAGCAATTAGCACGATCTTTTAAAAAGAAATGCAAGCAGCTATAAAAGCTAGAGTTGTTATCTTATGGTATTAAATGCCCAGCACATTGCCAAATTTTGTAGACATTCTAGATTCTCATCTATTTTTCATGGAGAGCTCTGATGTAAGAAGAGATTAACATCTTCAAGAGTACTGGCAAATTCAAATTTTAATAGGTTTTAAGAGCTCAAGTACTTTACAAGCTAACTTCCTAAAACTTTGAGAGTATTGCAGAGATGCACGCCTAGAAATCAAGTTAAAATACGTCAATCTTAATGTCAAACTCTGGGCAAAGTTTCCCTGAAGACTTTAGAGGAAATTCTCCACAGTTGATTTTTTTTCCTTTTCTTTTCTGTTTGCTTCCTACAAAACCCCTATAGTCAAGAACTGCTGTATTATAGGCAAATAGAATATGTGATGACAACTGAAGCAAAGTCTGTTAGGGATATTAAGAGTTTTTTATTCTGAATGATCTAAAGGGACACCCTTATTAAAAATAATAATAATAAATAAAGGTTGAAACTTGGCAGAGAACCTGCTACCACCACAGTCCAAGACTAGAATAAAACCAATCGTTAATTGAAATGTTAAGTCAATAAAGTGATCCTCTTTGTTGGACTACAGCAATTTTAGTAAAAGCTATTCCAACTCCAGATGTTTTCTTCATCGCTGTACTGGAAGACTATGTATGGATTGGCTTCTGTTATTCAGAATATATTTGTGTGTCTAAGATTAAAACAAGAAGAATAATTTGTCATTTGCAACTGTATGTTTTTATAAACTAGTAACATGAATGATTTAATCATTAAGGAAAAAAAGACAGTACCACTGGCAGAAAATAGGCAACGTTACATGTGAGCAGGTCTCAATCTCTGCTTTAACAACTTCTGAGATCATAAAATCTCTTTGAACTCATGCTAAAAATCTGAAAGGTCTCAGGAAAAAAAAATGTTTTATTATTAAATTTTCAGATCTATGAAGCTCAAGAGAGTGCCCGCTGCCCTCACCATAAACACACCTTCCTAGATAAGAAATTTAATTTTTTTCTCTCCTTAGGTTCTAGCGTGTGCAAAAACATAATAAAATTAGAAACTCAGTATGATGCTGTGCTAAGATATATGTCAAGACATGAGAAGTGCTGTTCATAGACATGAACTGCATCGATAACATCTCTGGAACAACTGGAGCACATGATCATAATGAGCATTAAGCTCTGCATACAGGCAAAGCAGAATCTCATGTTCCCCCCCATCTTGCCCCTTTCACAGAACAAACTCCTTTAAGATTTTAGGGGATGCATTGGTGGAATTTTAAAAGGGGGGTTGAGGGATGGGAGTCAATCCACATTTAACTTGGTTGAGCAGATTCTTAAAGGCTTCAGTTAGCCAAAGTAAAGCCCCTGATCTGATCTAATTTAAATGGAAATCTACTTGTGAAGAAGAATACATATAGTATGAAAAAAGACATAAATGAAGCACAAAATAAAGACAGCTTCAGCATAGAAGGGAGCAGATCTAGCACAGTTGTTTCCTGTTACACAAAGACTTCCACTGAAAGAAGTAAATTGACACAGATGGAGCCATTGAGCTCACCTGAGAGAGATAATTTCATTTTTGGCTTCTGACAGATGTGCAACCAGCAGTAAATCACAATGGTACAGACAAAATGAGTAGGAATTCATAACTGAACAAGTAAATGGTTGTACTCCTTTCTTGTCTTTTATTTTATTTATAAACTATTTTTTTTTAATTTGTCAGTAAAGCATTGACGTTATGCTGGTATAAATTCCTCTAAAAAACTTTCCATTGGGAAAACTAACTGTGATCCCTGTAGCCCAGTTTCAATATCCTAACTATCTCTTTGGTACCCAAACATTACAATTGTACTTGTTCTTGTACAAAAATGCTAGAATGTTTAAAGTAAGACTGCATTTCGGGTGTAGGCTCCTCCTGGCCTTTTCCAGATTACTGCCTAAGAAAATTTAAGCATTTTATAAGAAAGTACAGATCAGTAGACCAAAGGGACACAAATAAGAATAACAGGTAACTTGGATAAAACAGTTGGTCCTAAACACTGCATCCCCAACCCTCTCAGCAATGCACTTCTGTAACCTTTCTACCTAGCCTGAAGAATATGATTCCCCTAAACAAAACACAGTGAAAAAAACAGGTAACATTTCAATCAGCTCAGAGATTCACACACAGCTGTGTATGGCAGATAATAGATACAATAGGCTGCAAAGGCTCAAGAGCAGGGGGGATTAAGGTAGCGGGAGGGGAGGGTGGAAAAGAGGGAAGCAAAACCACTTGCTCCCATCACTACTGGAGTAGACTCTGTAATTGCTCTCCCTAGACCACATGGTGAAAGATGTGTATAGAAAAAAAATCCTTATTTTCCAGTTAATTTTAAAAGAAAAAAATACAGTTGCAATGTTCATTTGGCAAGCAATTACCGGTAAAGCTCCATGAGACACGTAGTGAAACACTGATGACTGTAGCTCAGGCAAGGGCAGAGACCATGCTCTGCATAGATTATGAGGTGGGCTATGTATTTCACAGCTTAATCATCTCTGGCTCTTAAAATGTATATCTTGCACAGCATGAACTGTAAAGCTACACCAACAAAAGTGTTTCTTGGAATCCTAAATAATATTTAAAAGTAATTCAATAAAAAAGCCTTTCATGGGAGCAAGAGGTAAACGGAATAGGAGCCCTAACAATATTAACAGCTTTGTATCAACAGCCACATCCACCCCAAAGCATAATCAAATAAAGTGATAGTTATGTTATAATCATCAGCACAGAAACGCTCTCTCTACATGCTAAGCCTTTGTACTTATGATGCAAACCTCTGCACCAGATGTAAGATTTGGCTCTTCTTTCCTGCTCTCTGTACCTGGCTTTCACTAGCGTACAATTTGTTTTCTGTCCATGTGCAGTGCAGCGGGTTAGCAAGGAGAAACCCAGACTCTAAACCACATCCCATTAACTGCATTCGGTCCTGCAACGTTACCTCCTCTGTAACTCGCATCTCTCATCAACACTGTTTGCAAGACTGTGCAATAAATGAGCTCGGAAACAGATATTCGGGTGGTTGCTGGCAAGGGCAGATGAAGCATGATCAAGGCTTTTGTCTTTAGCTATATGACAATATTTTGCCAATCAAAGCCCTGAATGATTCCACCCCCAACATCTTTCTTGCTGCTTTTCAATACTGAAATAAAGCTCCCACGCTCCACCTCACACCACTTAACCGGCAGGACTATGAATTACTGTAGCAGGTGGGCCAGTGTGGTTTTAAAAGCAATGTAATACAATCAACTGTATAATATCAGATTTCAAGGAACGCAAAAGACATTGAGACGAGAGGTTGATCCTTAAGCAATCCTAATATTGGCATTAAAGTGTTCAAGATCCCACAGGGACCTTTTTATCTTTTGACCCCAGGTTTTAATTGAAACTTTAAACAAAATATATTACCGATTTAATGCAGCTGAACTGGACTCTGGCCTTTGTAGTCCATGTTGTAATGCCAAGCAAATTAATCTGTGTAACCTTAGTACGTACTTCTTAATTTACATCAAAGAAAAATGACATAGGGAAAACAAATAGCAAGCCAAGCCTACACAACCCATTGAATAATTATTTTGATTCTAGTTTTAGAGTTTTAATTCTTAGATTGTCTGTGTTTTTCTTTTTGAGAGGATAAAAAAAAAAGAAAGAAAAAAGGAAAGAAAGAGTGAAAGAAAAGGTTTTACTTTTTGGTACAAAGCCAGAGAAACATATGGTTTCCTTAGCTGGGTTGCTGCACACCTGGCAAAATAAATCATAGCGACAGGAGACCAGAATCTACCCTGCAACCTTTCATATGCACAAACTTCCAACATCTGATGCTGGTCTCCTGGCCCTGCCTTTTGCATGAGGAAATGAGGCGGAGGGGTGGGGAATGCAAAGTCAAAGAGATGGGAGCTTGATTTTTGAGGCCTGATACTCCTTTTTGGTTTAAGAGACAAGATATTTCTTGTCATTTTAGATGCTGAGCCTCAAAAGCCTGAGGCAGGCCGGCACGAAGGAGGAGCGAGCTCCGGGGGCGGCCAGCGGAAAGGCCAAGAGCAGCAAGGGCAGGAAAGGCAGGAAAGGCACCACACAGGGAATGCAGGTGCCGGGAGGGCTCCGCACGGCGGCAGTGCTGGAGCTGCGGTGCCAGGAGCGCCGCTGCTCGGAGCGCGCTCTGCTCCGTGCCAAGCACCGACAAGCGGAGAAAACACCCCAGGAAATCCTCAATGAAACCACAGAAGAGCTCCTGGATATTGGGAAACTTCATTTTCTCAGTCACAGGCTTAAACGCAATGTGGAGTCAAGCAGAGCAATTGACAACAACTCCAAATACATCCCTCCCTATGACAGCTGCCACTGATAATCCACAAACTCTTCCTGGGTTTCATGATGAACCATAAAGATTTTTCATCCACATGCAGCGACAGTGGGAAGGACTCTCCCTTCCCATATATTTTGGGTGCTCTTCCTAGGTTCTCCCCGGAAAGGTTCAGAAATCAAGGATTTGGAGAAAGGGCATCGCTCACAGTTGGGTTCATGAGACAGGACCAGCCTGTTTCAGCTCTTCCAGTCTCTCACTCAAAGGTAAGAAACAGGCAGATGAGTTTATGCAATGCTGTACATCAAAGAAAGCTATAGCGAACTGGTTTATAAATTTATCTCCGTCATCAAAACAGAAATAAATAATCTAGCTGGCCTTCTGGTGCCCAGGGACACAGCGTCAAGAGCAGAGTGGATGCGCTGGCGATAACGGATGCGTCTGCCTTGTTTTCCTGTCACAGCAGATGACTGAAGAGGTGTTTAGGATTTATCTCACCCAGCTCACAAGCTGGAGCCAGTCATCTCCGCCCCTTTTATGGAGGATTATTCATACAATCCACTACAGGTGTCTAAGGCTGGTGTGTCGAGATACTCCCTGAAGATATCATTTTGTTCCATGCTCTAACATGGCTCTAACTTGTCACCTAACCTATAGACTTCTGCATTTGGGAGAGACTGAATTAATCCAGTGCATATAACTGCAGTCACGGGAGCTCATGTAGACACATCCAGGGCAGCCTTAAACAAACTAGCCCAAGCCCTGCTCTTAACAAAGCTGCAGTGGGTTAATCTGAGTTGTTACTTGCCTCTTGGATTGCCTTTGCCCCCATGTAACATCATCTCAGGGACTGGTCCCAAGCGGTTCTGCTTCCCCTGCACTGGCGGCAACCACGACAGCAAACAAAATATAAATATCTGCTGCCAAGTTGTGCTTTACAGAGCTCTCTGAGAGCTGGCTGCTTTTTCTAACAGCCTGGAAGGGGCTGAGGTGAACTCGGTTGACCCTAACTTGTTATGCCGCGAGGATATAAGTGAAGTGTCTGAAGGAAATAGGACCCAGAGTATGAGCTAAGCAGCGGAAGAAAGAAATACAGCGGCAGCCAAGGCCGGGCAAAGCACTGAGCTGGTCTTTGTGCTCTCCACGGCTTTGTGTGTTAATAAATGCAAATCCCAGGAACAGGGTGAACCTGGGTTTCATGGACGGGGCTTAAAAAGCAAGCTGAGAAAGGCCTCGTGAACCTTAAAAAAAAAAAGAAAAAAAAAGTAACCAATGGAAAGAAAAGCAAAAAAAGTAAAGAACCTCACAGGTCATAATGATGTAGTCACGAGAAGAGGAGGAGGGTGGCACTTGTTCTGTAATGAAGATCTTCAGATTGAAGCTGCCTTTGGGCTGCAAACAACCTTGGCTTCCATGTTGTAATCTCAGTGCTTGCAAGGAGCACTTTTTTTTCCTGGGTTATGAAAAATGTTTCTGCTCACTGTGGAGGGCAAACGTCTGTGGGTCTACTGGAACACGGCCATCCTGCAAAAGTCACTTCAGGACATCCCTAACAAGCAGATGGCCAGTGACACAGAGCAACGACTGGCGATAAGCCCGTTAAATTTGTCAGCAAATACCGGTGAAAAGAAATGATAAAACCATAGTTCAGCTAAGACTACATGAACAAATGAACATGCAATAACCAACCTGTGTGTTTTAGGGATTTTAGCTATTAGCTTTAACTTGATAAAGCTCATCCTTTCAGAAATAACTCTCCATTGAACTATATATACTGTTAAGTGACTGTTTACAGTATAACTGCCATTAGATACTTGATCACTGTGACAACTGAAGCACTTAATTTTGGGTTTACAGAAATTTTAAAAGATGTAGCACCAATTAAAACTATAGATCTTTTCATGGCTAAGTACAGATATAGGAGCTAATAAAAGCTAATAAAGAAGCAAGCAGAAAAGTGAACGGTCTCATCTTATTACAGCTGTGTTAACCACTGCAAACTCCTCTATTATTTTGTGCATCAGGAGAAAAAGGTTCACATGTTTCCTCTTGATCCTAATTGTTTCTATACGCATTTTTTTATTATCCTAATCAAACTATTTCAAAGGCATCCTAAAATCCCTTATGTCCTAGATAGGAGCTCACAGAGTCTCCTTGGGCGGAGACTTAGGTCAGTTGCAGAAACAGATGCCCCTTCAGGCAGAATTCTGCTTAAAAAGCATCTCTGGAACTGTCATCTTGTGTAACAGATCTGAATAACATGACTAATAATTCATATCATTTTTCCCTGATGTCTGCTTAATGTCTTCTGTATAAAGATGTGATGAAGACTACAAGGATCTTAATTTAGGACGTAAAAAGGAAAAAAAAAAAAAAAAGAAAGCCCTCCTAGCTATATAATGGCTCTTGCAGTACTCAAGGGATTTTGCTGAAATTTTGAAGAGCAGGTTGGCTGGTCTTAGAAGGACTTTATCACTGTAGACATTTCCCTAAGTGAGTATATGAGTATGTGAGAAATCATATTTTGTCACAGAGTTTCTAGTGTGCGACAAAAAAGAAATTGAATGAGCTCTGTGGTCCAGTTTGGCGTCTTATTTGTTTACACAGTAATTTAACATCTGTCATCCAATGCCCACATTAAAATATGTTCTGTCACACTTGTAGCCACTTCTCACTGCATTTTGCTTTTCCTTTACTTAGTTTGGAAGATAACTAAATAGGAGAATTAAAAGAAAAAATTCAAACAACCAAACAATTGCATGAATTGCTTACAAGATACTGGATGAGAGACTCCAAAGGCAGCCAACCCCACTCACCTGTGCAACGTAAATGTAAAAGCATTGCATGGACACTCTTAAAAATAAACAGTAACCATCAGTTCAAATGGTTATTTCATCTTATTCAGCACTCCTCTTGCTTAAATTCTGAACTTAATTTGGATAACATCTATTGGAAGCAATTATTTCTGATTTTGGCTAATTCATTTGTGACCTAGTTGCTTGGCCAAGCTCTTTTGTTTTACTTTGTTTGACTCCCCAAGAATCACTCTGAAACACTAACATTTTACTTACCCATCATGTTGTATAAGCTTTGTGGTGCAAATTGCCTGGGCATTTTCTGTATTGCTTCTTTGTAAACCGTAAGGGCATCCTGAAAGGAGACACACAGGTGAGACAAAACATTATTAAAAGTGCCAATTTCAAAAGCAATCTTTCACACTGAAATTAAAAATTAAATATTCTTCCCAAATGAAAACCTGCAGAGAGAGAAAATATCTGTATGATAAATATCACAGGAAGCCCACATTTCACATTTACAGAAATCTTAGCCAATTAAGCAAAGCTCATTCAAAAGACCAAATTAGTTCCAATAAAGTAACTCTTTTGCCAGGAGGCAACAAAAAGAACCTTTTTTTTAACCCCTCCAAAAGACTTTTCAGTCTATAAATATACATACTACAGGTTAATATCAAGCTGTGGACAAAGGATTTTCAGAAGACTAGGCTACAGTAAGTGACTTAAAAATAAAGAATAATTGCATGCCACCAAGGAAGAACAAAACATAACTCTCACAACTGCTATTTTGCTCCACGCAATGGCTGAGATGGCCTATAGTTAGGCATAGGCAGCTAAAATTGTGTTCCCTTTGTGAATACACCGTTGTTTTGAATTACTGGATAACACATTAATGACTCATTCCGTATTTAGGGTGCTTACTGGCTGCTGCGTCATTTTCCCCATCACCCCATCAAACTGCTGCAGCTTGTGAAGGCTGAAATACGACTGAAAAACCTCAGTGTATGATCCTATCAGGTCTGGGATGGGCTGCAATGACCACCAGGCAGAAACCTAATTTTCTGTTGTTACAATGGCTTGCACCTCCCCTGCGATGCGCTGCAGCTCTCCGCTCCGCCGGCCATGCGGGCAGGATGCTGCTGCTCCCGTGTCTTTATGGCTGCATTAACGTCTGCCTCCGTGTTTTAACCAACTAGTAGCTGCCTTCGGACAGAGCCGAGTGGAGCAGCAGCTCGCGGTGGATCCGCAGAGCTTGTGCGTGCCTAATCTCAAACAGCCGAGTTTAGCTGTTGTGGTCGAGAACTGTATAAATCAGGACCATGTGTAACTTCTGTTCTAAAGCATGCTTGGCAATGAGAAAAAGAGAATGGCTTTTTTTTTTTTTTTTTTTCAAATGCCAAAAGGGGTCAAAAGCACAGGCAAATGTCCGCTTGTAATCGTTTCAGCAGGGGGAATTGGGGAATCTCAGCAGGCTCAGTCCCACATGTATTCAGGACAGGCCAGGTGCAGTGGGCAATTATGTCAGAAAAAAATCTGGCCCAGTTTAGTATGTGGGTAGAGCTATCTCATGCAGTATTATCTGAAAATAGCACACACTGGAATATTTTTAATCACTGAGGTTTTCAATAGTTCCAACTAGGTCTCATTTTCAGAGACTCAGTGCAGTTATGTTTGCATAACTGCATGTTTTCAGCTAGAGAGAGATCACTCTATTTTGGGGTTCAAAAGCCCAAACACTTTACATAAGCTGGACTGCGTCAAGCTATATCCTCACACCAGTCATGGGGATAACAAACAAAAAGAATGAATTAAGATACACAAGCTAGTGCTGATTCTGACACCCGTACATCACACTGCAAGCTAATTAACAACTTCACACCTCATTTTCTTCTCCACAAAGTGTAGAGAATATTCACCATGATCTGCTGAAATCTAATCATCTTATACATGCAATGTATTTTGAAAGTCTCGACGAAAGCAATAGATATCATTGTATAAGCAGGTTTTATCAGGATATGAGGACTGACAATAGCACAGACAAACCTGGAGTCTCACCTCATAGTGTCCTTGTTCATGAAAAAGTTTTCCTAAATTATAAAGACAGCTCGTAACAGAGCTTTTATGGGCATGAGGATCTTTCAAATTTTCATCCGGGATCTCCGAGCACTTCAGGAACGTCCTTCTGGCTTCTTCTGGCTTCCCTTGGTTCATCAAGATGATACCAGTATTTAAATAGGCAGCTGTGAAGAGGGGAAAAAAATTCAATGAGGTTCCATTATGTTTTATGGGATCTTCAATTTACTTCAAAGTAATTTAGTTTGGCTTTTCTATAATACAGTCCAACCGCAGGAAAGAAGAGTACAGAGTATGTACCATACAAATCAGAGGCTGGGACTCAGAATGAGAGCCTGTAACTTTGGGCAGCCAGATCCCTGAGCTGAGAAGCCATCCCAGAGAAGAAGCAGTTCAGGTCTTTCAAAGCTGCCACGTGTTTGGGCACTACCCGTCTCCTTCAATCCACCACTCTCAATGCCACAGTAAATGCAGCTTAATAAAAACTTGCTTTCACTGACGACTAAACAATTTCTCCTATTGCTTTCAGAATGAAATATGATGAAACAGTGTTATTAAAACATGCAAGGATTCTTTAAATAAAACAGTCTATGTAATGCAAATTTGCACAGTTCACATACTTACAAGCTAATGTAGGTCTGCTACCAATTGCCAGTTTATAATAATGTAATGCTTCTGAAAATCTGCTGTTTTCCTGAAGTAGCAATCCTCTGCATAAGGAGAAAATAAAAAAAAAAAAGAAGAAAAAAAAAAAAAAAGTTAGAGAGTAGGAAGTTACTGTAAGAAGGAACTTCAGAATGTTTTTGATGTCCTATCACTTCAAATAAAAGGAGAATCAAAACAAAATTAAAGCAATAAGGAAAAATATGCTGATTGGCATCAGAGAAGCAATAAATATCCACATTACTAACAATCCATTGGGAAAATTATTTCATCTGAAAAGAGGACTAATTTAAAGATGTCAGTTGTATCCATAGAGTTTTAACAAGGCAGATGTTAAAAAACAGTAGCATCAGCTTCCTTGGAAATACAGAGAATCATTTACTCATTTGACAGACCACAAGGCCATTCTTTTAAAAGCACTTAGAGTGTGCTGGAGCTATTTGTAGCTAACCGTCAATCATATTTAGCCATTTTTCTCTCTTTGACTTGAAAGAAACAGATCCGTTTTGAATGTACAATAAATATTGACCAGCTAACACTTCTTATGTATTACCTTAACCAACTGTTGCTGAGCAATTTCCCTAGATTATTCACTCTACGGTTATTCCCTCCCACCCCCTTATTCTTTTTTCTACTAGGAAGAACTTTAACTACCAGAAAAGCTATTAAAAGGATACCAGAATTCTTATAGTTCTCAGTTTCATAGTTCATGAGCTTTTAAGACAAGCACCTCTGTGAAATAAAAATTAAAATAGCAATCAGTGAATTTCTGTGAGAAATTAGTGGTCTGGACATCATTCACACGACTTCACAGATCTATGCTTAAGTGAATGCTCAAAGCATTACAATCTTCCCGGAACTTTAGGAGAGTGAAATGAGCACACACAATTGTCTTGAAATCACAAAGATAAAAAAAAAAATCCTTTCTAATTGATCTCTATAGTCTTCAGGCTCAGACCTCATTATCCTTATGACGTCCCTCTTTATTCACCTATTCAGAAAATACCTGAAAAAAAAAAATGTAACTCTCACCCATAAAAGCAATAGCTAGCACATATACTCATAATTTTCCCTACCTACATCAATTTTCTCTCCTTCCTCTACACTTCTGATGATAGCTTTTCAACCCACACACAGCTTAGACATTTTTTTCAATCTTCAGTTTCTCATCAGAGAAAATTTTTCCCCTCTGCTTACGTGATCCAAAATTAATTCAAAAAGTATTTTTAAATGAAGCAAGCACATTTTAGGGGAAGAATGGAATAGAGAGGTTGGCTGAAGAGAAAACAAAACAAAACAAAACAAAACAAAATAAAATAAAATAAAATAAAATGATTCACACTTCAAAATTCTTTTGTTTTCTGTGGTTTGGTTAGAATTTAATGGAAGGGAGAAATATATCCTGTTTATATTTGTATGGCCTCTCTACCAACACCATGTGGCCTTGCTATTCACCCAGCAATTGTGAACTACCCTAGGACTTAGTACTAAGACACTTATATTAAAAGAAAGAACTTACTTCCAGATAGTGCTTATAGCATTTTGAGCAAAGACAGAATCACATTCATGATACTTTATGGCACAGAACCCAGCTTTTGTTCTGTTTTATCTATGAGCATTGCACTTGCAGGTGGCAAGATATACAGGTTTTCAGGACAGTGGTAACATTTTCTAAATTTTCTATAACTTTTGAATTTTGTTTACTCAACAGATGTAATCCGCAGTTACTCAGAGGAAAAACTTTATTACCAAATTCATCATCTCTTTTCACTACATGCTCTGGTACTGGCACTCTTGATTAATTATTTGATACTTTCAGGATATGGTTTCTTTTTTTTTCTTTTTTTTTTCCTCTCCTATTTCTCTTCCAGAAGAGAATTAAATTAAGAATAAATTAACAGACTGTATGTGTGAACATATACAACAAGCTGTTTGGATGCAAGACTGAATATTGAACTTCAGCATATCAGCATATAATTAAAGTATTTTATTTCTATTTGTCATGAGATTTGGTACAACAACAACAACATGACACATATAACCTAGAAAACCTTGATCAGACATGAAACTCCCTATTTTTCTTACTAAATTGGCTCTGATTGACCTCTAGTTTTCCTGTGGCTTCTGACAATACAAAACTAAATGAGATTTATGAGCCCCAGTTCTAGTTTCAGATTAAAAAAGTCAAGAAAAGGCTTTAAAAATTCAAGAGTGATATTTTTAGATGAAAACAAATAAAACTTGAGGGTGAGGGTCTGTTTTTGAATGATAATTAACTTGGATGATTGCCAAAGAAGGCAGAAAATATTTATTTAGATAGTTAAAGATCATAAAGCTTGCATTAAAGCGGCAAAGCATTCTCAAAACTGTAATGAAATTAAAAGAGTTTAAAGATTAGATATATTTCCCAAAAGACAAACAACATCTTCTCTAAGTTTCAAGCTCAAACAAAATGCAGTAATATAAATATATTTACTACTATTCTCACCCAACCTCTATCTAATTACAGAGAAGATGCAAATAAATCTAAAATCAAATACTTAAGTGTTACAGCCAAAATGAATACTTCCTATGAAATTTCTAACTCTTCTTTTTAGCATATGTATTCTAGCTACAGTCTCTAATTACGTTATCGTTCACTTATTTCCACTGGAGTACTGCCTCATTCATCACATGGAAGGAATATAGATGATCAGTCAGTATTTGCTTGCATCTCCAGTTTCTACAAGTAAAACAACAATACTTTCTGATAAATCTATCTTACAAAAAAAAAAAAAAAAATCAATTATCCTCAAGATCAAATGAAAAACTACTGTTTTTTCCCTCAGAATGAGTTAAAGAAAATCCACAGACCGTAAGTCCTATATTCTCTATTTCACTGTAGCATTCTGTCACATCTAAGCTACTCCCGAGACAAAAAAAAAAATGTTTATTTTCAGCTCTGCATTATATTACACACCCAAGAGGCAAATCCCTTGGTCTGAGACACAGATGAGTTCAACCCTGCCAGGCCGTGCAGGACTTGCTCTGCTGAGACATGGGGGCCTGCAAAGGCAGGGCAGCACTGGGAGCGGATGTTGGAGCAGAGCAGAAATCTTGCCCATTAAGCTCCTACTGTGTCAAGGGAGTAGACAGCAAGTCCTAAAGCTGCCTCTGAAAGCAGCCAGCCTTGCAAATTATCCACAGGTGTCAGGACAAACATGTGACAAAGAGATGGGCTCAGGGGAGGAGTGTTGGAGAGGAGCATCTCCTTTGGATGTGGCTACAAGGAGGTCAGGAGAACAAATACTGTTATGAATCAGGTCAGTTCCTTGCTGGAAGAGCGGAGGGGTCCCACATAAGCAATCATTGTAGAGCATCCTTGTTCTCCGCAGTCTAAGTTACCCTGACAACTCTTCACCAAGCTTTGACAGAAGTTGACTTAGCTATTCCTTCCTTCACCATCAGAAGAAAGTGTTCAGTGTGGGTTATTTTGACGAAAGATTTTTCAGTGCATTTTAGACTCTCATTCACTTTAGATTGGAGACCAAAACCATGACAGCAAAGTTAGAGAGGTATTCGCAGTCTTATTCTCAAATGCACTGGCTACCTTCCTATTAAGGAAATCACATATAATAATGCATGAATGACAAAATTTGAAACAAAACCTTTCTAGTTTTCCAAAAGTTCAAGTAGAAAACTGCCAAATTTCCTTTCCAACAATTCAAGTACAAACCTGCCAAATTTCCTCTCAAGAAGATTGGCCGTGGATGTACAGAATTTCTGTCAAGCAACTTTGTCATTCTTATTAATATGCACTATCAAATTGATGATATTTTTAAAAAAAATGTATAAAAATACATATCTCAGGGGCATTTACCAGATTTAACAAATACATACATACAAATATGTAGTTCTACTCCATTTCTTTTTAAACGGGAGAGTTGGTTTTCATCTTCAAGTAATCCCATTGCTACTTTCTCTGTTTAGAGTAAATGCAAAAAAAGAAAGGAAAGAATTGCTCTGAATGACCAGTTCCTAGAGGAAGAAGCTGAATGTGAATGTGCCTTGGTTGGCGTTCACACCTTGTGAGGACTGTGGGATACTGAATACCTAAGCCCATGCGACAGCTATGACTGAAAGATGATTGAATAGGAAGTTCCTCTCATATCCAGGAGAGGGTTATTCCTTCTATGCCATTCCCTATTTGTTCCCTTTCTTGCTCTTTTTTTCTTTCTCTTAACACTTCAGAATGAACATTCTACTTTGGAGGAGGCTGGCAGAGGGGATAAGGAACAGGCAGAAGGAATACAAAAGAAGAGATACAGTACAGTGCATTGAACACTAGCCAGTGGTGGAACAGAGCAATTGATTAAGTATGTATCTCTCCGTTTTAGCTGGAGAGGCACAAAGCCTTCCTTCTCCCTCATGCAGGAGTGAACAAAGGAAAGCACGTCCTTGAAACACGCTTGATATAACACAGTAAACTCAAGTGGTAAACCTGGAGGAATGCAGATCTTAAAGGCTTCTGGCACTTTTTAATGTTTCCTACTTCCCAGAAGTAAGGCATAAATTAAAAAATTAATTGAATCATGCAAATTTTGTTCAAAAATGATATGGTCACATAAATGGGAAAACAGAAAGCGAATGGAAAGCCATTCTGACAAGTGAATGGCTTCTTTAGACTAGCAGAACAAGTCCCGTAGAGGAATAAAGTATCTCTCCAGAAATCAGGATTCTCAAAAAAACGTATATAGATTGACATGAATTAGTTCAGGACAAATTAGGAATCAAGCCTAACGATCAGAGCAGCAATATTCTGGAATTTCCTTACAACAGATCTAGCCAATTTCATAGTGTAGCATGACTCATAAAATGGATATGAGCTCACTCACCCAGTGCTTAGAAAGGCTTTCAGCATTCCTTTTTTTTTCTGAGGAAGAAGGAAAAAAAAAAAAAAGCATTTTTTTTGTAGCTAGAAATGATGCCCATCACATCTGTAATGAGAACTGCCTAGCCCAATACAAGTGGAGCGGCACATTCCCTCAAAATGAGTCGCCTCCTGAAC